TTTATATCTATATATATGCTATATCCTTACTCTGCAAGGGTATTTAAGCTTCGACTAGCCGAAGTTATGCAATTTTCTTACACTTTCCTTCTCTCTTTCTCTCTCTCTATTTACAAGCGTCTAGCGCCTCAGTCGCGGCTAATTTTTGTTAATTTTCTGTTTATGTACAACGAATACTTATACACTACATGCCGGCCCAGCAGCTGCTTCAGCTGTTGCGTGTGACAACTGTGACGGGCTTGAGCAGCGGCTGCGGCTGCGGCAGCGGCTGCGGAGCTGGACCAGGAGAACGGGAGTTGGCATCGCCGTTGGCCTGTTGCTGAAGAAGCTGGTGCTGCTGCTGCTGCTGCAGCAGGCTGGGCGATGACGGTGGCTGGCCGAGATGTGTCATGTGTGGCTGTGGCGCCGGCGCAGTGGGCATCGCTGCGCTGAGCTGCCTTTGATGTGCCGCCAGAGCGGCGGCGGCGGCATGCTGATGCAGCAGCTGCTGGTATTGCAGTCGCTGGTACAGCTCCTGGCTGCTGGCGGGGCTAACGAAGGGCGGCGGGGGCGGTTGCGGTGGCGCCGCTCCACCCGGATGGCCAACCAAACTGGGCGGCAGCAAACCCGCCGCCGCGGCTGGGCTCTTTGGCGCGAAGGGATTGTAGCGCTGATACATGCTGGCCAGCAGGCTGGGCGCTGCCTGTGGATAGGTGAGGAACTGTCCGAACTGTGGATACGCCGCCAAGCCGGGAAACATCGGCCCGATCAGCGAGCGCTTGAAGGCGGCCAGGCGTGAGCGACTGGCGGCGGTGGTGCGACGTCTCAGCTTGCCGGTGGAGCCACCAATGAATACATCCTCCGCCGAGGGATCGAGCATCCAGTAGTTGCCCTTGCCGGGATCATCGTAATGCCGCGGCACCTTCACAAAGCATTTGTTCAGGCTGAGATTGTGCCGGATGGAGTTCTGCCAGCCCTGTTTGTTGTCCCGATAATACGGATGATTGGTCATGATGTACTCGTAGATGCCATTCAATGTCAGACGCTTCTCCTGACTCTGCCGGATGGCCATCATGATGAGCGCATTGTAGCTGTACGGCGGCTTCTCGTTGCCCTTCTTGTCCTTGATGGGTTTGCCATCTGTTGATTTGGTCTCTGAATCGCCATCGTTATCACATTCCACGTCCTCCTCCCCTTCTGCATCTCCGTCGCCCTCAGCATCCACATCCTCATCATCGGGTTCGTCCACATCAACGCGGGGTGCGGGCGACATGGAGGTCACATCCAGATCCGATTCCACATCGCTCTCTGGCTCTGAGCCCAGTGGGGAGCTATTGTTGTTATTGTTGTTGTTGTTGTTATTATTATTATTGTTGAACTTTTGTTCCGCCTGATGTCGCTGCTGGTCCTCCTCCTCGTCCCGCTGCTCATCCTGCTCCACCGTCTCCGGCAATATGGAATTGATGGAGAAACTGGACTTGAGATGCGGCGTGCGAGCCATTTTCATGAGCAGCGTAGCCGGCGTGAGATTCAAATTCAGATTCAATGCGCCGACGGTATTAAGATGCGGATGCGAATGCGAAAGCGGATGCGTATTTGGCTGTGGATGATGTGTGTGCTGCGCGTGATTATGTGGATGATGGTGATGATGATGTGCGTTGAGCTCGTCAACGATTTTCACCATTTTGCACTACAGATTCTTGTATAATTTATTGTTGTTTGTCTAAATTTGTTTTCTATTTGTTGCTAGCCCTGCATTTTATTAAGTTAAAGACTTATGCTTTTATTATATTTATATCACAACAGCAATAAATATTTGAATGCCTCCCACACGCGTATTCATTTACGATTGGATTACATTTGCCATTCGCCGTGGGCTGTTTACCGTTTGCCGTTTACCGTTCAGCACGTTCTGTTCGTTCACACGTCTGCTGCGCTGTGGCGTTTTGTGTAGACTAACAAGAATTCCCAAATCTCAATCCAGTTGCTGCGCCTGGCGGCTATTGCTGTTATTCCCACTGGCACAACAGCCAATGGCAGCTGTGGACTGTGTTCGTGTCGTGCATGCTCCCTTTCTCACTCACACGATCGTTCTCCCATTGTGCAGCAGTAGCGCGCTCGCTTGCGCTTGCTCTGCGCTTGACGTGCTCGTGTGCGCGCGCCTGTGTCCATGTGTGTGTGTGTGTGTGTAGAGATTTGTACCATTCGCTGCTAATTGCTGTGCTGACATGACACGAACACCGCCGACTGGCCTTTGTTTTTGGTTTTTATCGTTTAGCTTGGGGTGGGGAGCGCAATGCCCGGGTTGTGGGTTGCATTTTGATACGCCAGGTCTCTCGTTTGCTGTGCTCTTTTTGCAGCAGCTGTCGCTTTTGTTACAGTTACGCCAACTGTTGTTGCTGCCGTTGTTATTGCA